GAGAATGATCAGTAAAAGACACAGAAGAGAAAGACTGTGAGGGCTGTGACACATTGTTTTAATGATTACATGCCTATATGATGTGCTTGCTGAACCTATCGCAGTTTACGTGCACAGGCTTCTTTTACCCAGATCCCGTATTTGTTGTAATCAAAATGCCGTTACAAAATTCCCACCCCACAAAACCCCCCTTCTGTCGCCATTCCCCCACCCATGCAGCCCCATCCATTCAGACATACAAGCACACAACTCCCTGCAACACCTTCCCCCAGTCGTTTCCACTGACTTTCCCAACCAGCCTGGCTTCCTGCTGCTCTCGTCCCTACTTCCTGCTGGCTCCCCTGAGCCCCAGTTGGCTAACCAGACAGAAGCGACAGGAGTCCCCTTTCCCATTGGTGCCTTTTTTCTGGTGGCTAAGCATCAGGCGGCAGCGAGTTGCCATCTTCATTCCCAAGAATGCATCTGAGCTACATGATGGTCCAGAAAAATTCATGGGAAAGGAAGATGGCAGTGACAAGTCTTTTCATTTGCTTTGACATGATACCAGGAAACTGTAAATAAGTAGATTAGGTTTAAAAAAACCAAGTGGGCTACAGCACCTTGGCAGATGCCAGGAAAGGTTTCCAGAGGCAGTGGCACATATGACCTACCCCGCCTTGTTTTGGAGTTTTTTTTTGGGGGGGGGGGCAATTCGGATTAATTTAGTGGGAAATGGACAGAAATTGTCCTAGACTCCTTTCATTCCAAGCATAATTATATAGATTAGTGACCAATCAATTATACAATCTGTCTGTCTGTTCATCCATCCATTTAGAGAGCTGATTACCCAGTCATTTATCTGAGAGTATCCAGCAGTTACAATTGCACTGTTAGTAGGCAAGTTTGAGAAAACTGAATAGGGTTCAACACTGTGGATAGGTCCTTAATGGATCAGAAGAAAACGCAGAGTGAATACACTGCCCCACTGACAGCAGAGCTACCAGCCAACACTGACAGGGTTGTTCCTCCACAACCAGCTTTTAGCACCAAACAGCATTCAGCACCTAAATAACAGAATACGCATTCTGCATGCTGGAAGTTAAATTGCCATATAGAGCAAATTCTATTGCTATGACTGATGACATAAGAGGATATACTCCTTGCCACTTCGGTTTGTGACAATACCATCTAGTTTTGTTTGTTTGGGTTTTTTGGGAGTCAGGGATTATGTCTGTTTTACAGATATTGCTTCCATGAATTTTTGAACTTCTGCTATAGCATCCAGCTCAACAGTCTGAAGGATTCCTAGGCTTTTATTCTTCTGGATGGCCATCTATGCAACCAAAGTTTGAGTTCTTGCTTTTTTGATGTTTGTTGCTGGCCCTAACTTTGCACTTGGTAGCCATGACTCCAGGGACACCTTTAGACTTGCATAAATATTTATAAATAACTCGTACCCGACAAGTTTTCCATAGGGCTCTCCCCACTTCCCTTGAGAACTCCTCAGCAGAAGCCTCTTTAGATGAAATGCAGAGATCTTCAACCATGTAGCTTCCTCCAGAATGCAGGAAGGTTTCTTAAAAATCACCATCTCATCTTTTGTGTGGGGTTAAGATACTGTATCTACAAAACAGGAGTGAATGGTGGAGTGCGCTGCATGCTTAGGAGCAATGATGCAATGAGGAGGATTAATGGTGCCTGAAGCTTATTTCTTTACCGATAATACAGTCATACATCTCTGTTTGTGTTAAGCAACACCTATAGGACATGGGTCAGAGAAGAAAGACACAGCCTTCACAAAAGTCACAAGAAGTAATGTCCCATCTGTTAATTAAAGTCATAATTATGTGGACAAGAGTAGTTGCCTTATTAACACAGTTCAAGAACTGAACAAAAGAGGCAATGTTCCTATAGGACCTACTAATATTCAAAGTGCTGTAAGCAAGTATGCCACTTACTTAGAATTCTTGATTAGTTATTCAAAGAAAAAAGCAAATGCAAGGAAATGCTTCTGAGGTTATGTCTTTAGATGCCCTTCATCTCACACAGGCAATACATTAAATGTTTAATATTTCAGTATATACATTAAAACATGCACCCAAAAGGTCTGTGCCACTTGCATGGTTTATTCCTGTCAATTGTTTAGTTTAGTGCAAGCAGACCTGACAGAATTACTAGACAAACCAGAGTAATTTCTTGAGTATCCTCATCAAAGGCAGAATTATTTCTTAGAGCAACGATGTATATAACATCTCTATACTCCACCTTAAAAAACAAAGATGTCTGTCTAAAACTTGACCATTTTTAAAAAAATATTTCTGAATTCAATAACTGCAGGAAAGCCATTGTAATGTACTGGTCAGAGGGATGTAATAGAACTAAGGAGATCTGGGCTCTCTAGCCTTCATTTGGCCATGAAATCCACTGGGTGACTTTGTCCTAGACATTGGCTGGGTTCACACAACACAACTAGCAATCTGCCTTATTATTATGGTTTGTGTTTTTGTTTTAATACCAGTTCTGAAAGATGATCAAGTTGTTTCTACTTTACTGCAGTTTCCATCTTCCTTGATCAGTGCTGCTGTTAGCACACTTCTGATCAGAGCCATCAAGCCTGGAACTGAAACCTGAAGTACATCACTCCCAGCCTTTGTCACCTGCTTCTTCCGCATCTGTTTCTTCCAGTTGCTGCTCTTTCCAGGGGACTCTGCGGTAGCTGCAGACCAAGACCATGGAAACCACAACCCTGCTGAAACTGTATGCCTAGGCCATTACACTTCAGGTATGCCAACAGAAGTACATGGTCTGACTGGTATCAGTGTGAGGACCTCACATACGCAGGACACTGGTACTCCTTTTCCAGAACTCAGACTAGACTAGCAGAGCAATAGCAATACATAGGAGATCCCTGAAGTTCTAAACAGATCAGAGAGCAAAGATAAGGCAGTCAGTACAAAGATCAAGGCACTGCAGTAAAAAGGGTTTAGGCAGGAAGAATAGTCCAAAGGCAGTCAACAAAGTAGCCATATGTTCAGTCTAAGGGGGAGTTGAGTAAGATACCACAAACCAATAGGATTCAGGCAAGAATCCATCTGGATAAAAAACATGGTAACTAGAAAGCATATACATTGTTCCCATAGATGAAAGTGAGATAGGTCCATGTTTAGCTCCAAAAACCTCAATACCATTTCAACATCTCAGATTCATGATTTAACTGTCATTAATAAAGATCTACACAGCTTACAGTGTAGCAGCCAAGGAGTTTAAAAATAGCCAGTGTGATACCAGTTCATCATCCAATGTTAACCAAATGTCCCTGATCAAACTTTGTACAACACAGCTAGATCACCCCTGGTATAATCAATGAACCGTGGTGTTTTAACTTGCTAAAATAATCAATAGCAATGTATTAAGTCTTCTGGTACCTTGAAATATGCTACACAACTTTCCAAGGCATCCCTGACAAACAGATAGTCACTGTAGTCCAAATCAGCGCACACAATTTTTAGTGCTATGACATCTTGTAAAAGGTTTTGCCGCAGATGCAATTCCAGATTATTTTGCTACCAGAGGGGGAAAATGACAGCCAAGAATACAGCTGTGAACTCTACTGCTTTCAAGTATATAGCAATTACACAGATTTCTGTAACAACAGTAGTTCCATCTTCAAAAAACAAGAGTATTCCAACTTCTGGTGACTTGGAATTCCCTTCCTAGTTTCCAAGCTCTTCTCCAATATGCTAGACTTTTCAAATAGGCACTCCCTTCATAACGGCTAAATTCTTTTCTTGACTAAAGCTGCAGAAGATTTAGTATTGCAAGAATATTATTAACTGGGCTTTTAACAACTGCATCAAAATTCTGAAACAAAGTGAATTTTGCAAGGTTTATAGATTAAGAGTAAGCAGAATGGAGATCTCTGGTGATTTAGAGGCGTGACAAGGACTATAGGCTTCAATTAGCAGCAATCTATACCATTATACTGCTGAAGTGAAAAAAAGTTTGAGGTAAGCAAGAGTGGATGTTTGTGAGGAAGGACTATGAGGTTCATTCAGTTCCACTGTTCCTGGGTTCAGAATTCTTTAAACTCTTAATATATCTGTTTTGTACCATGCTAAAATTGGTGAAGCCTGCAATTCTAGTTTTTAAAAAGTTGACTCTTCAAGCCTGAAATCTGTCCACACTCTCCGGCAATAACCAGAAAGATAATTTGGTCATCCTTCTGGTTTCTCTCTCTGCCCTAATTATTGCAATGGAAGACAAATGTCTCACTACTTTCTTTGTTCTACAGATGCCTAGTCCAATCATACATGAAAGCCATTCAACCCTCTGTCAATAAGGCAAAAATTGCACTTCCCTTCCCCCATGCAGCAGGCTCCTCAAGTTCATCTCTCTTAGTCAGCCAATTCTTTTTCCGAAGTCCTAGCTAAGACATTTGTATCTTAATAGTTCTAGGCTACACAGAAAAGATGTTTGGAAACATCCTATTAGTCATTCTCCAGCTGTTCAATCAACAAAATCCTCAGTCGTTTTCCAGACTGCTCTTGAGCAGACATATGCTGTTGTTCCTCTGCAAAATGATCAAGCACAATAGATTTTGCAAATAATAAAACCAGCATTTATTTTCAAGTCTGCGTTTTCCAAACTAAATGAAGGTATGATCCTGAACATCACATCTGTGTCTGCAATTTCCATGCATGATTTATGATCCAGATAGGGGAAGAAAACAGTTGGATATGAACTCTGATGCTAAAACCTATACTGAAGTCCTTAGTTATGTGGTAAGAAGAATGATAGTAAACTATGGTAAGGAATAGTGCTTCTTGGATAAAGCTGGAACCAGACTGAGAAAGCCTAAAAGAAGGAATGCCCCCCCCCAAAAAAGGGATTTTTTGTGCTACCTTTTCCTTCAGAAATGTATTTAATGCACACAATAAAGCTGTAGTACTCTGCTGAATACAAGTACAACCATAGCCCTTTAAGAAATTAAATAGTAAATCTGTCTAGACTAAAAAAAGTCATTCATTGTTTAACAATTTATTGTTTATGAAGAAGCTTGCCATTATGAAAAGTTCTGTAGAAAACAGTTTCTCCTGCTTTCAGGTTTAATTATTCAAAAGCTGATGTTTATTATTAGTGAAAACTCCAGTAGAAACAAAATTCTGTAGGAAACAATCTTGGCACATAAAGTAAAAGCTTTTTAACAACTTAGATCTGAAAAGAGTATCTACCATGCACAAATACTGGCAGGAAAGCCCATTCTAATGGGTGGTATTCTCATTCATTAAGACATTAACATGGAAGACACTTAAACCTGCTTTATATCAAGTTAATTGCATATAAATATGGTCTCACCATAAATGACATTTATACAAGCCAGTCATTCAGTTTAACAGTTCTAAGTAAGTAATAGGCACTTTGCCCTTCTGATTTCCTCGTTCACCCATCAACCAGTCTGAATCCATGCCAGGGATACTGTACACTGTTATTACCTAAAAATGAAAACAAAACACAGGATTGATCTCTTATGTGACATTATTAAAGAAATCAGACAAGTTGCTCTTCTAAATTCTCCTCCTGCTTGCTAAGCAAACACTATCCAGGATTCTGTGGAGTCAAGAGTACCCTCATGTCCTGGACCACTGAATAGTGATAGCACTTAAGAGAAAACTGACAAACTTTGCAATGCACCCTCAAATAGAGATGTACAATTAAGATATTTGCCTCCTAAAGCTTCAGGGAAAAAAAGAAACAATGTTTTAGAACATTACTCTATTGCTGATGGGATCGCTAGATGAAAAATTCTTAATTGAAACATCAAAGTAATGTCACAATCATATGATTAACATAAAAAGTCTATTGCCTGGCACCATCACAAGCTTTATATAAGTAGCCATTCTTTGCTCATTCCTGCAGATTCAACTGCTGGTACAAAGTCACACACATTGCCAAGGACAAATGGCTACTTAGGTTCATAGCTTTTGATGAGGATGATGTAATGCTAAAGGACTGGTTCTCTTGTGCATTTAGTTTCCAGGATAGTCACTCTATCTACAAACTAGAATAGGAAATATTTAAAACATTTTTATGCCGCCCCCATTGCAACAAAGGCTTGGGGTGGCTCACAAGACAAAATATACAAATATAACAAATTATACAATAATATACAAAAATATGTACCTCATCTGCAAGAAGTGATAATTCACTGCTGTTTGCAGCATCATAATCATAAAGAACTCTGGCTTTTCGGCTGCCAGTTGATGATTTCAGTTCACCAAAGCTTGACGTAACTGCTGCATTGCTTACTGAAGACAGTGAGGGTGTAACAGAGGCAGCGGACACAGTAGTACTAGAACTACTCGGAGCACAGGACGAAGATGACTGGTTATTGTTGGCGAGGAACGTAGATGGAAAACTGTGAAACACAAATTAACTCATTGAGTAAATATTAGCTTTGCAATAAACATTTGGCAACCTAATTATGGCCCAGTCATTGTAAGCAATTTGGTACTCTCTTTGTCTTGAAACCTAAATGGTCTTTAAGTACTACCTCCAGTTTCTCATCTCCCAACAGAAACCTCTTATGATAGATGAACCACCACAGCTATTCACAACTTAGAACATTTGCTAGGAACTATGGTTGAAAATCAGACTTAAACAGATTTAATTTGCAATTGGCATTGACTTGTTGATATTAGCACCTACACACCCTTCATCAAAGGGAACATGCATGACAGTATCTTACAATTACTATTACATTATTGACCCACTGCTTTACACAACCAGGATCTTTCCAGAGGAAGTTTCTCAAGGATCTTCCCTAAGATCTTTGGCAAAGAGGCCAGGCCAGGCGGTTTCAGAGAAAATCCCACTAATAAGACTACACTGTGTCACTTCCTCCAGGGGGCATTTGATTATCCATTTGCCCTTTAGAGAAGCAGCTATTGCGTAATCAAGATCCATTCAAGAGAGGCCAGCAGGATCTTTCTGTTGCTCAGTAGTCACCTTATCTCTATGTATACAAGAATGTTCCGCAAGAGAGGTGAAGTCAGTTGTATTAAAGCTGTAATACAATATATTATTAAATATGTTTACTAGTTGTGTGAGAAAAATATTCCATACCAGTACTGCATTCCACACTAGTTATGCACACTGCTGGTAATTGGAGATCTTTAAAGAACTTCACTGGAAACAAATTTCCAGGTCCAAGATCAATGTCTGGAGAATTAAATATTCCAGATGACTACCCACAATATACATTTATCCTTTTGTCTTAGTATATTTTTTTTCTTTTCTACTGACAGTGATAGACCAGAAACAGATTAAAGGTCTTCCAAGTGTTGCCTTGCCTTTCTACCATCTTCTTGAATTAAAATGTGGCTTAAAAAAGGTATGAACATAAGCATCATTTTATTTCTATCTTGCAGCAGGTATTCAAAGGCACACATGCAACACATTTTAAAGAGCTAAATCTCGTTTTAAAGAGCTGAATCTGTAAGGTTAGGAATGCAAAACTGCAGTTACCCACTTATTTCTACAAAGCATGTTATTCGGAGAAGCCACAATACTGCTGGTATGGTATAGTTCCCAGCTCTGCTTGGAGGCATGTCAAAGAAGGCAAGGGTTGACACACCCGCACGATTTCTTTTTTCAGCATTACAACTGGCAGGACAGGCAAGGTAGCAGAAAAGTCTGTCATCACCCCCAGCACACCTCTACGCATCCATCTGCTGGAAGAGGGGGAGATCCACCCTGTGAGGGATTGCAGCATGGCACCCTAAGTAGCCCCAAACCTCTCGTAAAAAGCACTTATTTCCTAAAGATAATGAACTCATACTGCACAAGGTTGCCATTTCCAAGAACCAGACATTTGTTAGCTTTAATTAATTTTGGAAAGCTTTTTTTCTGGCAGTTGACAGATTATTTCCAATGAGACTAGTTTAAAAATAAATGTTTTAGATTTTTAAAAAGGGTGAAATCAACCTTAAGCAGAATATTGATATCTAACATTAAATGACTTCTTGTATTAGCTCTGAAAATGTACTTAATACAATTGATCTATCAATCAATTGCTTTGATACCATTATCTTTATACACAACACACATACCTCTATAGTAGGTTTCTGCACATGCAAACTGCTGTTATATTTTGGAAAGTTCCCAGAGATACTCTCCAACCAAGCCAAAGCCTTCTATTAACCAAGCCAAGTGTTAAGAGACAGCTGCTCATTAGAGACTTCCTTTACTGAATGCAACAACTGTTTGCTAATATAAAGTAATAATCCTCTAGATGAGCAGTTGTTCTGTAGAAGAAGAAATGTGCTGAACATCCCCTGCACCAAAAGAGATTTTGAACCATTTATTCTTTTGCTTGCTTACCTCTAGGTAGTTTAAGTGCCCTGATATACTCTCACATGCACCAGGACAAGCATAGCTACTCCTCAAGGAAAGCATGTTAAATATTCAGACTTGTTCTCCACATTATGATGGTTGACCTGTTACTGTGCTTTGTTATGCCATTTCATCAGAGATCTAAGAAATCACTGACTGCTGTTTCTATTAACTTTTTTCTGATCCCTGTGGAAAACTTTTGGGTTATATGAGCCTGTCATAAAAATGCGGTTAAGCAGCATCAACAGGGCAGTCCTTTAAGTCACCTTTACTGGATGTTTTGTAACCCCTCAGTTTAGACTGGTTACTATCGAAAATATAGATTTGTTACCTTCCAAGCTGTTTCTGAAGATCCAACATGTACTGGTAACACTGTGCATAGTAAGTCATCTGAGCTTCTACAAAATCATTCAAACAACGAAGGTGATGTGCCTGTCACACAGCAGAGTTCAAACTGTTAGTAAAAATCCCCCTAACATAGTGCATTAACCAGATTTTAACAGTTATTACATCTTCCTCTTCATCAACATACACTTCTATACTGCTCAGCCTAAGCTCTTCGGGCAGTTCACAACAATAAGTCACCCATCCAGATTTCAACCAGGTCCTATTCTGCTTAGCTTCCAAGATTAGGCAGGATCAGGCACTTCAGGCTATATGGAATTTGATATTGAATTATTATTCTTGATGTTGATTTTCAAGGTGAATTTCAAGGAATTGTTATTTTTAAAAAGGAGTGGGAAATTGTGGTCCTCCAGATATTTAGCCTACTACTTCCACCATTTCTCTTTACTGGCTATACTGGCTACAGCTGATGGGAGCTATAGGCCCAAGCCATGTGGAGGGCCACAAGTTGTCCACTCCTATTTTAAACATTACCTATATTGGAACCCAAAGAAAGCCTCATTTTGTGAAAGTAACTCTCTCAAATACTTCAATGAACAAGACAAACAGATTGACATTACTCTTGCTTCAAGCTCAGCTATCAGAGATTTGAACATTTCTAAGTTTCGGCAAAGGGATATAATCACCTTCAAAATACAGCAATCCATCTGGTGCCCTCTAAATGTTTTGGGCTATAGGACCCAACACTCCTAACCTTTGGCCATGGTGGCTGGGCTTGATGAAACCTGATGTCCAAAACATTTGGAAGGTACTAGGTTGAGAAAGGCTGCTTTATGCCATGAGCTTCATTTATTACACTCAGTTCTTTCAGATGCATTAGGTAGGAGGAGTAGGAATATTTTCACCACTGCCTCTCCCAATAATCAACCTGCTAAGCACAGAGCAATCAGAAATACCAATACTTTTGTATTTTTGCTTCTCTTACCTTCATGTGTTATGATACATGGCATCATGAAAACTTTTAAATAGAATTTCTAGTTAGAGTTAATAAATTAAGAAAAAGGTTTAAAAAATCTAGGCTTTAAGGCTGGTTCTCCAAAATGGTGGCAGAGGCACCTCTCTTTATGCATGCTGGGTCCCTTCCCAATTTTTATTTCAAAACTTTTAAAGCTTAAACATGGAAAAATTGCTTTACAGCTACCCTCCATCACCATATTTGGATGCAAAAAATGGTTACTATATATACCAGCATATAAGACAACCCCCAGTTTTTGCTTGGCTATTTCTGGTTTCAAGGGTCATCTTATATGCCAGTATATATTTTGAAGCTTAGCCTCCCTTCCTGTCTTATCTTTAGATTATTGCGTAGGATAACTTTATTTTATTTCCTTTTATTCTCACTATTTCATCTTCTGGAAATGTGTGTTTTGTGACTACCTATGCCACCATGACAGCCATTTTATGACTAGGTAAGACCTGACACTATGGCAGCCATTTTGTGGGAGTGCCCATAAGCCTCTCAAAATACCAAATGTATGCCTATCAACCAAACAGGCTAGGAACCACTGCTGAACAGTATTTCATTCAAATATGTAAGCAGTCTTCAATAAATAACCAGGACTAAGTTTAATTTCTTTGTACTCAGTACTTACATGTGTGCTGCTGATGCCTTCCAAAAGAAGTCTTGTGATTTCTGCTTGCCGGTCAAACTCACTCTGTGCTATCCTGACTTCCTGTTCAGACTGTAAGGTAGATTACAATTTTTAACAAAATGCTGATTCACAATTATGCTGCTTAATTGCATTAATGATACAGCAAATGTCATTGAAAATCAATGCAACTGCTTTAACTGTGTGCCTGTTCCATTAGTTTGATAGAAAAGAATTCTGACTGCATCAGAATTCACCCTAAAGTATACTGGAGTGGACAGATTTCAACCTGAGAGCTCTAATCTGACTTTGATTAAAACCCCAAGGTATACTGACCAGAGCCAGGTGTAAAGTATCTCAAGCAGGTGAAAATACTCAAAGAATGAAGAAGCACAGTTGCCTTGAATACATGCTTAGCCCAAGACTTATTTTTAATCAATATCAGAACCAAGTTCAAGGGTACTTTCAAGAAACAAACAAAAATTTAAAATGACAAAACATCTACCTGGTTCCCCCAAAGCATTTTCAGCAACTTTGTTTGGGAAAGAGGGCAGCTTTTAAAGCTTTTGCTATTGCTGAACAGTTAAGGGTCAGAAACCATTGCTAATCTACTTTCTGCTACCCCAATGTGCTCACAGAGAGCTTGGCTAGTGTAGTTCTATAGTAATAAATTGGCCAAACCAAAATCATCTACAACAGTGTACCTCTCACCTGGTATCAAATCTTATTAGAAGGTTGAAGCTGACAAAACTGCCTGGAAAAGCAAGCTACCTAGAAAAAAACTTGAATAGTGCGCCTATCAGAGGCCTTTCAGTTTTTCTAAAGGCAAAACCAGTGAGAAGGGTTAATCATTGTTCCAGTTTCAAAGACTATTTGTAAATGCCTCCTATAAGCAGAAGAAATAGTGTTCTGTAAATCTTGTCTAGTGCCATTTGTATGGAACAGGCCTGTAATATCTCATTCATTGTTAAATACTGCTAGCCGAATAAATGTTTCTGTGTCGTTCTGAATATTTCCCATTTCTGTACAGGGAATTTTGATAAAGAAGTCTGCTTTTAACTTGGACAGTCCCTTTTGAAATAATACACTACAAAAATATGAAGAAAAGTCCTTCCATGGTGAGTTTTGTATCCTAATAGCCAAATGAAATTAAAAGATATTTATTCAATGTGCATTGTTTAAAAATGAGCCTTATATCTGATTGTACAAGAAAACATAATTAAGCAACATTCACAGTGGTTCTATGTTCAATATTCCTTCAGAGAAGTTTGAATCTGAAAATCATAAGGAATCTTAGACAACTATTAACATTTGAGACACTGCCCCATTATGCACTGTTCTTAGTTTCCTAATGGTCAAACGGGTCCTTGAAAACACAAAAATTAACAAGAAATTATCAGAAAGATAGTAGTATCTGCTATCATGCACAGCACATCTGAACACAGGAGAGTTCTATCTGTTTTTTAAAAGAAAATGAGAACACTGATCAGTTGAACTGGAAATAGTGTTGAATCATTTATTTCAAACAAGGATTAAGAAAGATAAATTGTTTCAGAAGCTGAAGCTCAGAGAATGATGCAAATTTGTGTATCATTCAGAAAAGCACAACTATCTTCTCCCTTGCATCTTGACATAAGTATTCTTCTGGTAGGTATATTTTCCAAATACAATATGAATGATTTTGTCATTATCATTCCAAATTGCATAAGACAGTACTACTTTTTTGATAGCAAGGGCAAAACTAAATATGAATCTGATTCCAGCACTACATAAACTAGCAACTTGAGTTAAAAAATACTTACTTTGGTTACTTCCTCTGCCCAAATCTTGTACGCATAAAGGGGTGGAAAAACAACACCATGAAGAATGCATCTAGCAAACTTTCACTCGGGTTTTAAGCATCTTTCTTATTTTAACTTCCCCATTCATTTCATTGATTAACTTTTGTAATGTACTTGATACTAAGTATAGTTGCATCACTATTTATTACTAGCTAAGGTAAGAACAGGCAACCTGGTACTCTCTACACATTTTGTGCTACAACAGCAGGGCCAATGGCAGGGGATTATGGCAGCTGCGGCCCCCTTGGTTCCGGAGAGCACCAAGTTACCTACATGTTAAGGGTTGAATTATCACAGGGTGGACTACTGTTAAAGCAATATGCTGGTATACAAATCTATTTCCCAAAAATTATCTATTTGTTAGATTTAAAGGAGAAATATCTTTTGGAAAGACTAAAGCACCAAAAAGAAAAGGTTTTCAATCCCAAGTAAAACCTTTATGTAACATCTTCCCTCTCATACTACTTTGAGAGCATACCAGGACTACAGTCTGAGCAACAATTTACTGAATTGTGAAAGAATGCATGGATGAGATATTATTAAATATAGACTTATACAAAACAACACTACTAAAAACACAGTGAATACAAATGTCAGTGGAAAGACCAGTGATTTCTCTTGCTTTTAATGCCTGTCTTCATCAAATCAATAATTTAGAACTTAGGTTCTGTCCATGGTTATACATCTCATTACTACTGCTACTTCACTGCTGTAGTGCAGAATTCTTAAAAATCATTTTTATTAAAAGTCATCATTTTTTAAGAATGCAATGTATTTATACATAAGTACACAATTTCACTCATGGTGTTTCTGGGAGAAAACAAGCATCTCTACAGAGCCTTAACAGACCAAGCTTGTGAATAAGCTGGTTTTAAAAATTTCTCACTGCTTTGTCTAAACAGTTTCTCTGTTATTAGAAAAGAAAAAAAGAAATCAAAAGAAAAGAAAGGAAAAGACTCAGTTAGAATGATGCTTCAAATGTGATCCTGAAGTTTTACTACATGATTTATACCAGAGCATCCATTCTAAAGCCCATTTGATAGAATTTCAGTACAATGACCAAATTTCTTTATTTGATAGCTAATGCAGTTTCTCATGCAATAATGCAAAAGGATTCCTTTGGGCATCTACATTAAACTAGTAAACAGATAACATATTCCTCTGTGCATCATTTAAGGCACTAATAGAACAAAATCCAACTTGAATCAACACTGAATTGTTTGTCCTACCTATAGTTTTAGTTTGACTAAGAAGTGTCTTCAACACATCTACTTCAATAGTTCTGAGAATGTAAGAGTCCTCTAAGGTTACAAATAAATAAGAATCTGTATAATACTCTGCAAACATATTAAGAGAATAAACATTTTTGCAGAACCAATTATACTAGGTAACCCAAACATAAGTTTATGAATATATGGAAGTACTACAAGTATCTGAATGACTAACACATATCAGCAGGAAAGCAAGAGGAAACACTTAAAGAAACATAATGAAGACAAAGAGGCCAACAAACCTTTAGCCATTTTACATGCAGCAAGTTGAGCATGTAAGAAACATTTACCATAATGTTATTTTCTTCAGGTGGAGACAGGTTTAGTTGCTTAAAGTGTATAAAAACAAAACTATGTTATATTGTGAAAAAAGTTACAAAATTCAAAGTTGATTGTCACATTCTACTGCAGTATCAATGGAGAGAGCAAGAAGCATCAAATACACATTTCTCTAACAGTTATGCTTCATTTATGTCTCATCTCATTTCCATAGATGGAACCAATCTGTCCACCTGCTGAGATCATCATCTGAATGTTTCTGTGGGGCATTCCTACCATCTGAAGTGTGGTGGCAGAACCAGAGCATAAGTCTTTTAGTGGTGGTTCCATGCCCCCAGTGAGGTCTCTGTGGGACTCACAAAGACTTTCCCCCAGGTTTTTAAGATAAACCAGTGTTAGTGCTTTCATTCTAGGGCTTTGCTGATTTTTATTGTCTATTTAATTAGAGTCTCGTTTTTATGCTTCCTTGTGTTAGCAGAAATGCAAATTGTTTCTTGCTACTTTGGTAGCTAACCCAGGGTCACAAATTTATGCTAAAGTTACAAGATATGAATTACGTAACTAAGTAAATGAATTCTCTAAACCAGGGGTCTCAAACTCACGGCCCGTGGGACGATATTTTGTGGCCTCCACTTGATATCAGTTTAGTGATAGTGAGGCCCACGCGTTTTTCTCACGCGCACCTGTGTGAGTCGTCACCCTGGGCGCAATGTTCCCTCTAAGCTGCGCACCAGGACGGGCGGGGCACGGGCCCTGTGGCCTTCAAAGCACCGGCGGCCGAAGTTTTGCTGTCATTCTGCCCTCCACTGGATGTCTATAACCCTCTGAATTTGGAGGGTTGCATGCAGCCACAATGGAAGGCATCCTACAAAATATGACCTGCTGATCATCAGTTTCCTACACAACTAACAAAAGCCATATGGGCCAGGTTCCCTGGGAATTTCTAATTTATATCAAGTTGCCATAGAGCTTACAATTTTAGATAAACTGGATGGATGTTTCAGACAATTTAGATAGATCAAAATTCATGCTCACCATGCCACTCCCCCCCCCCCCCACACACACACACAAGGATGCAAGACCAGGTTCATGTCTGACATTATACTCTGCTTGCAGCTTTTAAGCTGCAGGGGATGTAACTTAAAAGCTGTGGAGCAGTCTAGCAATTGCACCAAGCCTCAAAGACTTGAAGTACAGCATTAATGGTGAACTTTTTTTAGTGATTTCTGCATAGCCAGTGCAACAGGAGGAAGAACTTCCCCCTTTCTTTAGGCTCAGTAGAACTCAGAAACTCTCCCTGTGATTTAAAGTGAGATGCCATCAACATGGAGTTAACCACCAATTCAACTTCACTTTACTATCAGTTAGGTGAGACTGTGGAGCTGCTAAAGCAATTTCTGAACTCAGTAATTGTTTGGATGACAGTCAATAAATGGACAACTACCTATTCAAATATTTATTTACAGTATTATTAGACCATCCCAGCTCACAGGTTTACAGTCTTATAAAAGTGACGGTACACAAGGAACAAGGGATAGGAACAGGGAAGGAAGAAGATGAAATTAATTAAACTGGTAGCAGAGCTGACGGAATGACCCAGCTTACTCCCTCTTCTCCCAGGATGTGGGACAAGGATGGTCTTGATATCCTTTTAGCCTGATTCCAGTCTCCCTCACTCCATCTTCTTTCTCAGTTTGAAAGTCCTGTGGAGTAATGGTCCCTGGGTCTGAAAAATTGGTGTAGTCCATGTTCTAGAGCAGGGGTTCCCGAGCCTGCAGCCCATGGGCTCCATGTGCCCCCAGTGCTCTTTCTGTGCAGCCCTCCAACCTACTTGTTTAATGCCATCACCCTCAAGGTATTTTCCTGCAGACCCACACTACTCTTCCTGCCTCAAGCAGCACCATCTACTGCTGTCCCTTTCTTACATAAAACACAATAGCTATACAAAAGGATTCCACAGAAAAATATTTTTCCAAAATGGACTGCATTCAAAGTAACCTTTCTTCATTGACCTCTGAATGCTTACTTTTGATCTAAATCAGTAGGTTAATAATTTTGTTACATTTTAAGATGCAGCCCTCTTTAGGCATTGGGCACTCTAATGCAACTCCCATGTCCCAGAAAACTGGGGCCACTGTTCTAGAGGGGGTAACGCCCTCCCTAAAGGTGCACAGTCTGGGGATACTCCTTGATCCAGAGTTGCCCCTAGAGGCCCAAGTGTCCTTAAGTACTCAGCACCTTTACCAGTTTTGGTTGCTTCATCAAATGCAAACTTCCTGAGTGGGATAGGCTGGCCATGGTAATCAATGCTCCAATGACCTCCAGTACTAATTAGAGTAATGAAATATGTTAAATGTAGGACTGCCCTTGAAAATGGTTTAGAAGCTTCAACAAGTACATAATTCACTTAACAGAATTCTAGCTGGTCTATCTTCATTAAATCAGTTCTTTCAACAACCACATTGGCTAACTTTTTGTTATCAAACCCAATTCAAGGTGCTTGCTATCACCTCTAAAGCCCTACATTGTTTGGTGTCCAGTTATCTGAAGGTCTACTTCCTTCATTCCAACCATGAACAAAGATCAGAAGACACCCTCTGATATGTTCCATCTTTCAGAGACGTATATTACGTAGGCACGAAAGGGAAGCCTTTTCTGTGCCAGCCTCCCAGCTCTGAAATGCCCTCCATAGGGAGGAATGTCCAAAAGTGATGCTGTATTCTTTAGAGCGCCAGGATCAAACTTACTTCCTGAGACATTTTAAATTCATTTATTATAAGCCATCCCAAGACATTTGTAGGGGATGGGTTAAAAAGTTTTTAATAAATAAACAAACAAATAAATGACATTATTTTAAATTAAACCCAACAACTAGTTGTATTGTTATTCCTCTCAATTTTATGTATGAGCAAATGTTCTGCATTGTCTTGAACTGTATTGTAGATTTAACCTGTACTGCTCCAAGATAAATGTTTTGGATGAAGCTATTGTCTATAAATTCTTATAATAAAAGAAATTATGCTGTGCACTTTCCAGAATAAGAGATGTGCTTGCCAGTAAAGGACAAACATGTAAACCTTTATCTATGTTCACAGATGACACCCCCTGCTGCCATACATTCCTGTGCATCATCACGCAGCATTCATTTGGTTTCCTATGGTAAGTGAGCAAAGTGCCTAAGTTACAAGACAGAGATAAGCTGAAAAAATCAAAGGGGACATTTTCTTCATATCGATGATCAGTTTGCTAATTATTAAGTACGTTACCAGTAAACACAATTTTTAAGACTTAAAGACTTATGCATGCAAATCCATTGCAGTATATCATTCACAGAATATCTGCAATAACTAGTGTTTGACTGTAATCAGCTCTTCCTCACAGAAATAACCTCAGCTCTGTTGCAATTTTTTTTCTCCCAGCAAGATTCCATTTCTGTAGTCATTACATGCCTAGGAATGACATCTTTATTGTCTTCTGTCTAGTACTCTGAGTTCTCACATATGCTCTATCCTTTCCAGATCATCTTTGTGGAACCATCTACATATCATGTAATTCTGTCTGCTTCCAAGCAGCAGGATTTGGAAACCAAAGGAAGAAAAAAGACTTCACTTTATAAAATCTCAGTGCTGGCTGAACAAAATATGTTCAGTGAGAGATATGGATAGCTAACTTAGCCTCGGATATTTTAAGAAATGAGGTAAAAATGATTATTAGTGTCCAAGGATTGAATTCCTTATTCAGCCTTCTTCCACCTATTGAAGGCATGTGATATAGCTGAAGGAACTTGGAGGAAGGGAGGCGGCTTTTGTTAATTTCCTCTATAACTGCTTCTGCCCTCAGAGAATCTGCTATGCTGCGTCCCCAGCCATTCTGGTAAAGATTTCTGCAGAAGGCATAAAGAGCTACAAGGAAAGGGAAGTTGGCTGAGGTCACCTTCTGCCACCAGAAACAAAGCCTGGATCTAAGCCAACATTTTAACCCTATATTCTGAAGTTCCATGAAGATAGATTTTACTTACTGAAACTCGGGCTTCTGCTACTTTTGCCTTTTTCAGTCTAGTTTTGGCAGCATCCAAATCTAGTCTTTTATTTTGCAATAATTTGCGTTCTCTCTGTAAAAGAAGTGGAAGAGAGAGAGGAAAAAATAAAAACCCAGTTCAGCTTCAGAAAACATAAAGCAGCACAAGCTACTTGCACTTCCTGTTCTCTTCCATAATGATGAAGACCTCTTTGTCAGGATTCCACTAGGAGAGTTTCTTGAGAATGACACCATGTGGTTAATTACACAAAACCATTTTTATGCTTTTACCAAAAAAGGGTTTTAGTTACATAATTACATTAGAAACTTACAGTAATTGTTTTATAATCTCCTTCTATAAAATTTCTCAGTGGCGTAAGGAAATTTATTGCAGCTGTCTGTATTAATTCTCTGTCTGCTGCTCCAATTCGTTTTTGTGTTTCTCCACATTTAATGAGTGCATTTCCTGGAATAGAAATAATCGAATGATTCCAACAGGAGTTTACATAACTACAAATCTACAGTTACAGAATTTAAATCAGATTTGCTGACAGTGATTTTTGATAGAATCACTAAGGATATCTTGTATCTGAGAACTATTGTAGCTTTTATGTATAGCTACTGTTGTCCCCAGAACTTTTACTTTAATGATTAGATTTTACTCCTGAAAACAGTTTCAAGTTCTCATATGCAGCTTCAGAGTAAGAAGTTACAAACCATTCTTACAACAGCTGAGATGTACCACTCACTTAGTTTCTAATCAGTCAGTGCTACTAAGACAAGTCAATCCTAGATGCCCATATCAAATGAAGTAACTGTTATTGCTTACCATATGCTGTTCCTGGACCAAACTCATTTCCAGCATCAATCATGTGCTGGCCCAGTAATTCTGGATTATTCATACGACTTGGTGCTTTGCGGTCTAGCTTCTCATAGACAAACTCTTCCATTCTAGCATCTGGTGAAGGATAACATATAACCAATCATAATCAATTACTGATCAATTTAAAGAGCAGTAAAATCACAATGTTAAGGAAAATGTTGACATATTATATGGCAGTCAAAGTTAAAGACTTGCTGCTTGCTTTACAAACAACATCTATTTTGCATTTCACTACTGGCATATATAACAAGTATTTTAAAAAGGTGTCATGGCAACAAAATCCAAATTCCACTGCTCTGTTCTTTTATGCCTGTTCTAGAAACAAGAAAGCCCATCTCACTGATTAAGCTATGAGTTACCAAAACTACATTGCTGATACAAGTCTTTTAACAGGCCCATTCACATATAAACTAAAGCTACTTCTATATGAGAAATATATGTGTACATGGCATCATAGCTGGCATATTATTTGCTTCAGATGTTCTGGGAATGTCTAAAAATGATTAAGGTATCACATCAAAAAAAGCTTATATGATTTTACTTTAAATAAAAGAAAAATTCCTAGCCCAAAAGTAATTTGGTTCAGAGAGTAAGTATTCTAGTTTTTTAGTGTGCAAACCATCATTTTCTACAATTTAGCTAAATCTCAAAATCGTAATACCGTCCACTCCACTGCCCATCAGACTCCCTGCTTCAGCTGACCAAGGTGGTCTCAGATCTGGTGATGAGGACCCCCAGAATGTTGCTTCTGGAGGACCTCAATTTCCATGCCAAGGCTACCTTGTCCATGGTAGCTCAAGATTTCATGGCTGCCATGACAACCATGGGGCTGTCTTAGCATGTCATTACCCAAGACATGTAAAAGGACATGCTCTGGGACTATTTTTTTCCCTACTGGACAGGAAGATGGTGATCTGGAAATGTGTGGGGGATGACATCAGTTCCCTTGTCATGGTCAGATCACTTCCTTTTGAGGTCTAGACTTTCGGCTCCTTTTCCCCTCTGTAAGGGTAGGGGACCCATTAAGATGGTCCACCTGCAGATACTAATGGATCCTGATGGTTTCCAGAAGGCACTGGGAGTTTCCAGTTGGTATGGCAGGTGTTCCTGCCAAGCCTAGGTTGCTCTGTGTAATATGGAGATGGCTCAGTCACAATTGCACACAAGTACTCCTCCCCCCGTGAGCAGAGCCCAGTCAGCTCCTTGGTATACACCAGAGTTGAGGGTGATGAAGGAAGTGGGAGGACAGCTAGAGCTCAGGTGGACAACTCAAGATAAGTCTGATTGAACATGGCTTTGAGTTTGTTGTCAAGCCTATTCCATGGTGGTGAAGGCTGCAAAGAGGCAGTTCTTTGCCACCAGCACTGCATCCTCTTAGTGCCGTCCAGCAGAGCTTTTCCAAGTAGGTTCTGGCCTTTTTCACTCTGGGCCAGTACGAGAGCGTACTGAATACTCAATAGCTTACTGTGACAAATTTGCACAGCACTTTTGAGGATAAAGCCACTCTGACTCATCATGAGTTGCATACCACAATCAAAAAAGTTCCACTGGCAGAAGCATCCAGAGCACCATCTGGTCCAGTTTTGTTGGATGATTTTCAGTTATTGAGGCCTGGGGATACAGACAAGGTGCTTGGTCAAGTTTGACCTACCATCTGTGTGCTCGACCACTGCCCACCTTGGCTTATTGGAAAAGCTAAGGAGGGGATTCACACTTGGGTCCAGGACGCTGTGACAGCCTCCAGAGGTTTTGATCAAACCTCTCCTAAAAAAGCCTAACTCAGACCCAATGGATGTGAATAATTATAGGTCAATTGCTAATGCCCCCTTTCTGAAAACATTATTTTCCAGACATTTAAAATTAAATAAGATCTGATTTTAAAATTGTTTTATGCTACTATGCCATGTATAAATTGTATCAATTTTATTAATTCTATAACTACTGTGAGCTGCTTTGTTTGTTCTTGTTCACACTGATTTTATTGTTTGCATCTTACTGTTTTATATTGTGCTATGTTTTACACCACTCAGAGAGCCCTTTGGGCTATATGGCAGTATAGAAGTGTAATAAATAAATAAAATGCACATCAGAAATGCTACGCTTTAAAGAATTTCCAGTATCATCTACATTTTTGAGTATCAAAAGTTTGATTTGGTCATTACCGCTAAATGTTGTTTATGCAATACTTTCTGTTAAGTTACTATACCAATATGATTTCTATGGTAGCATTTATAAGAACTGGGCAAAATTAATTCTACATGGAAGAGTCTACAAATTTTGGTTCGCTTACCATCAAGTTACAGCTTAATTACCACTGATCCCTCAAAATCTTCTGCACATGCCAGGGAACAGGGAAATAAAGGGGTAGGAGTAGGCTGTGTAGCCTAAAAACCCACCCTTCGGACATGGCATAGGGTAGTCTTCCCCAACCTGGTAGCCTTCAGAGCCACAAGAGCCACAACTCCCAGTATTCCCCTCCAGGAGAGCCACTAACCAGGACTTCTGGGTGTTACAGCCTATGTGTGTCTAGAAGGCACAATGTTGGGGAAGGCTGGAATAGCAGATCGCATGTCTACCAAACAGGGGCTATCATGATTGCCAAGAAAATTTGTGGATGTCTGTATATATATAAAAGATTTAAATTATCATGTTTCAAATGTGTATATCTATTTAAGCACAGATACTTGAAACATGTCAACCAGATGGCCTTTATGACTAAGCTCAGAAGTGTGAAGCTACTTTAACTTAACTGCTGAGCACGTTTAAGCAGCAGTGCTCTTGGAAAGCCAAATATACCGCAGACCAATTATGCTCTTCTGTATCATCAGCATTTAAGAATTAAGCTAAATTGTTTTATTGTTGCAAGGTTTTAATGTTTTAAATTGCTATACAGTGCCTTGATAATTTTTAGCAGGTAAAGCAGTATATAAATGTTAATAAACTACTAATAAAGTAATTATTTCTGACATTACTGCACCCCTAGGTAGCTTGAGTAAAACAAGATGCAGGTCAGAAGCAGCAAACTGCAGAAGGCACTTTATTGATATGTTTTAATGTGCTTCTACTCCAGTAATACAGCAAGATCCCACATGGGTCTGAATACTCCCTCAGTTTCCAGAGCAATAATGGATGTTGCCTGGCCAGAATGCAACATCCTTTGCTTTCTTTCACAACCACCTAAAGACTTATTTAGTTTATTAATCAGAGACCTGGCCTAGATATTTCAGTATACATGGAGAAGACTGGAAAGAAAGTTTCTACATGATAGGGCAGCATGGATAAGTTATCATGAAGAGGCAATTTTAAGAAACCTCTATAGATAATGAAGTGCACAGACTAGGTCAGATTCCACTGGATTTCCTAACTTTTTGATGGATGGAGATACAAAAACCCTTCATTCTTCTACATTTCTTTCCAACAAGAGATAATGAACCTGACTTTATATAGGCAGCAGATAGAGTTGATAGAATGGACTTCAAACTGCAGGTGCAGAATATTACTCTTCCAAGTATTTCTTCATATTAAAAAGTCCAGCAAGTAGAAATAATTAGCACATCAAGGGTAAACCAAACCAGAATGGGATAGACCCTAACTAAAGTGCATTAAAGTACAAGGCAGCATTCAAAAATTCAATTCCTTTATCTGCAATATCAAGTGATAAAGGACATTCTGACATTTCTCTCAATTCATTCCGCTGCAGAAGAAGCAAGAAGAGCCGTGCTGTTAAGTTCTATATATGAATCAAAGCTGCTGCTTTAAATTTTATTACGTAAGCCATATTCAATATGCTCAGGATCTCAGACATCCTAAAGTTTCTAACTCTAAACCGAGCCTGTAAGAATATAGCAGGACTAATATAAGGTAATCTGGCCTCAATACAGTACTATACGAAGATGAACTTTCTTCTTATGCCAACCTAGTTTCCTTTCCCACAGTTATTTTTAAGAATGTGTGTGCCCGTGTAATAATAGTTAAAATATCATGAGAAAAACTACAGGCTTCCTCAAGCAGTAATAGGACTGGAAACAGTTTCACATTTGATTTTCAAGAAAGGGAGTGGAAAGGAATGGTAACTGTAGTAAATTTCAGTTTTATCTGACCAGTCAGCAGGATCTTTGTACCACTTTCTTAAATAATTTTCATTTGGCAGGTGTTTACAATGCCTCTTGTTCAGTTCCATAACCAAGTGAGGTATGTTACCACTACTTTCCATTTAAGTGGTTTAACTGAGGTTCAACTAAACTAACAGCAACTCATTCAGTTTAGGATAATGACTGAATTTGAATCAAGGTTTTTCTCTCTCCAATACCAGACACAAATAATTAATAGATGATCAGTATGAGAGTTCTTTTTTTGTATACTACACATTTTGTCCTGAACACACTAAAATGAAACTGAGAAGACTGTCAACAAACACATGAAAGATTAAAAGACACAATTGTGACCTTTGGAAATGTTTCAGTCAATGCCAACAACTAATTGCCAATGACAGTTTAACATGAAAAGAAAAGTCGTGCTGAATGGTGACCATCTGCTAGCGGAACAAGTACCATTAGAAAAACAGATCCCTATCCCCTCTGTAGCCCTCCCCTCCACATGCTAATCTGCTCCATCAGCCCAGGAGAGGGGGATCTGGTGCAAACAGTGGGGCATAAAGTGGGTGCAAAGGAGGACAAAAATGGGACGTCCTATTGCACAAGGAGAAGTCTATTCTCATGTTATTGGATGTAGCCCATAAAACAATTTATAGACAAGAAATAAAATATATTTAAATGTCATTCTCAATATGCCTCCGCTATCATGAACAAACAGAACAACGAAGAGGAGTAAGTAACAGATTTACAAGGCAAGAATGCATATAAGCAGTCAATCCGTTACATATTTTACTTCACTGCTCCCTTTGATAGCTGAAATATCTGAGGATATCCAACAGGCAAGACTACCATCCTGGACAGCCATAAAAACACAGTTGCAAAAGACTAACAAAAAATTAAACAAATTATGAACACACTTGTGCAATTTTCAGGGGCTGAAGGAAAAAAAACCTTGACCCCAACTGCACTTTTTGAGCCTCCAAAAACAAGCAAGCAACATGGTGGCAAACAGAAGGGACAGCAGGGAGGGAAGACAAAACTGGTGGATAGAAGGCTGGTATACTAGCTGGAGGAATGAGGGGAGAACAAGCAATGGTGTGTTTGATCATCTGTCAGATGCACTGTGAGTTGTTCTGCAAACAACCCACAGTACTTAGCTTACTTGCATGGTAGCTTAGCATGGTTTTTATTTCTTTATTTTATTTTTCTATTTATATCCTGCCTTTTTCCTACAAAGGGCTCAAGGCAGCTTGAATCCTCCTCCATCTTATCCCCACAACAACAACCCTGTGAGGTAGGTTGGGCTGAGAGTCTGTGACTGGTCGAAAATCACCCAGTTGGTTTCAGGTCATCTGAGTCCCAGTCCCATGCTCTTAACCACTACACCACACTGGCATGATGCGCAAACGCAGCTGCTGTCTCCAGTTCCTGACTAACAGTACTATTTCAAAATGCTGAATAGGTCACCCTGTCATACAGTAAGGAGGAAAGTTTAACATGCAAGAACATTTGTTTTGTTTTTTTGAATTATGTGATAATCAAACCTCTCAGTTCCATAATATGAATTATAGAAGATATTTTTCTAAATGTTTTAACACTGTTTCTATAAAAAAGATCAAAATCTATAGCCTATTTTGTCATCTCCCTATAAAGAAGGAATCTTTCTAGGATCGATAAAGACTTGCCAGTGACATACCAGTCAAATTTTTGTCAGGAACAAACATTCAGAACTTGTGCCAGAATGGAAACAGTCTTTATTACATTAAACAAGCTTATGAACAATACTTCTTCATGTATGTACAATTCCCAATACCAGCTTTGCTAAACAAGGTATGAACATGACTGATGTTCAAAGAGCTATTCCATCAATTTAATCATGTTTTGGTTCATTTACAAAATTACACGTTTTCTTTTAGGAATGAGATTAGGCTAACCAATGTCCATTACAATTATTATAATCTTGTAAGAAAAGCAACTGCAGAAATATGACAATGAATCAATAGACTATACATGAAGTCAGGCTTGGTTTCTCATTTCAGAATTAAAAAATTGCCAGCATTAAACATTACAGTCAACAACCAAAAAGTATCAACTGTGCTTCTACTGAATATGGTTTGCAAATATATCACAGAGAACAGGTTGAGTATTGGTTGTTATAATGACAACCCATGATTCAACAGGTGAACTCTGGACTATAGTTTAACTATGGGTTGTTCACAAACTGCATAGTATCTTCCTTACTTTTTGATGGCTATAATATAATGTGAAGTTTGTGTATCAGGGCAAGCGAGGATTAAACCCATTCTCAGGATTGTTGTTACATGCAAATCAGGCTTTTCTGCATGCATAGATAAAATATTAACAAGGAAACCTGACAAAGGCAAAGGCAAAAAACCCTCTTCTCTTACTTGGATTTGGTTGCAGTAATACTTCTGTCTGTTTCATAATCCTTTCTGTCCATTGTTTAGTACATTCTGCCTTGCACAGAAGATTTTCCAAGTGAGCATCCAATTCAGTCTTCTCTGCTTGCCCAAGTTTCTCTTCCGTAAACTATATTGGTTAAACAAAAACTTTTCAACAATAGGTTTGTAATAAAGGTTTTGTCAGTACAAATAAATATGTAAACATACATAGCTAAGAAATCTGAGATGAGACATTTATTCAGCTGAGTTGATGAGTTCCTAAAACGTGAAAGGTAGACATGTCATTGTTTTGAAATATAAGAAAGAATACCATTTAGAATAAAAAGCTTTTAGATCATACAATAAAAATACTGAAATATTTAAATAACATAAACAGCTAACTTGATGTCAAGAAGATACATGTGTAAATGCAAAAGTGTCAATAGAATCGGACATTTATTGGAAGCAAGTAACACTCGCTCTAGGCAAGCAGCCAAATGATACACTACAGCTGTCCATACTCCTCCCAGAGTTCAGCACTCTCATTTCCCAGGGAGAGGAACTGCAGAACCTTACTATGGCTGCTGTGTTTATTTGCAAGGCTCCATAATGCCACCTGCCATGCCCTATTTGATACAATAGTAAATATTTGGATTTGAGCTGCGGTAGTGTATCTCTGGGAAGAAGCGGCCTTCAGAGAGGCACTGAAATACCTCCAGCATGTTTATTCTTTGAAATCCACTCTGGAAAAATGAATAAAACAAAAACAAAACAAACTAGGGGTACAGTTTTATGACTTTCCAAAACTGGTTGGGGGGGGGGGGCGATAGCATTATTTGGAGTGCCAGCTGCAAGATCCTACAATCTTGAAACAAGGACTCCAAAGATTAGGCCCCAGCCCCAGCCCTTGCAGCCAGTGCAAAAAGAGTTGTGCTGGCTGCTTCCTCTGAGGCTGCAAATGCACCTTGGCTGGAGAGGGGTCAAGCACATATGCCCATTCTTGTCGGCATCCCCGCCAGCTTTCCTCCCCAGCACTTTATCTAGACAGCTGAAAACTCTGACTAAATAAAAACCAGGGCATGGAGCACAGCTGTGGCAGAGATGGCTACCACCATGCTTTGTTCAGGGCAAAGGAGGCATGTAAGCCTCCAAGCCCAGCAGCTTACTTGTATTGAGGGGAGGGGCAACAGAAGTGTCCCTTAATAAGCACTGGTTCCAGCATCAGTTCACAATGTTTATTTCAGGACAGCCCCCACATGTTTCAAGCTATGTTTGTTCTCTTTTTAAATTGTTTTTTTCCCTTGACAAAAGTAAAGATACAGTACTAACTAGAAGAGAACATAAAAAGCAGAGGTCAACCAATGTAGTTGCCAGTGATAACCATATAGCTGATTTTAGCCGCACCTACTACCATTCTAGTTCTGTGAGACATAGCCTTCCCAAAAAGATTTTTAAAAATTTCTTTGTATGCACTCTTTAGTTATCAGACATTACTGCTTTCAAAGGTGTGTGTCAGGTTAGAGACATGACAGCCCTCCTCTGCTGGAGCCAGATGACTCGACAAGAAGCCACAGCAGTGGCGAAGACGAATAGCTGACTACTAAATCAGCTCATATTTATTGGCCCCTGATGAAAAGCTTTCAGCATACCTACCTACTGAAAGGAGTTGACAAATCTCTCCTCACAACTGGGGGAGGTTCCAGATGCTGTCAATGAGGTAACTGTGAGGATACTCACAAAGAATCTCTTCCACAATCAGCAGCTCATAAGCAGCATGCTCAAGCAAACCATAGTTGTTCCAGTCCAGAAGTTCTTGTATGAAATCAGTTATCTGAACTTATCAATCTGTTTTCAGAATGTTCAGATCTGTTCTGGTTGAGCATTTCGAAAGGAGGAGATGGAGTACAACATGGTTAATTCTTCTAAATCTCTCAATAGTCTGTAATACCATCAACTGCATGGTAGCCTTCTGCATAGGCTCTTCAATATGGGAGTTGGGTCACAATGGTTCTCCTCCTAATTGTGAACTAATTCCAGAAAGTGATGCTGTGCGGATATTTCCTGACCTCACGGCACTTATGCAAAGGGAACCCATGGGATTCCATCTTGTTCTATGTTCATTTTCTACATCAGGAGTGGACAAAGTTTGGACTACAAGCCCCACAGAGGCCAAAACACGCGGAGAGCACAAACTTGCTGCTTCACTCCTGATCTACGTAAAAGTAATTCAGCATTTTGGCGCTAGTTGTCACCAATAGACAGAAGACAGTCAACTCTCTCTTTTTCACTAGATTCAAGCAAAGCAGTAGAAGGGTTGACCTATTACTCGGAATCAGTATGGACTGGATGATGCCCAAACCAATGCTCAATCCTGACAAGACCAAATCCTGACAGATGACTTACTCTTGATAGGTTTTTCATGTGTCCAGGAAAACAGTGCTCAAACTGTTTTGGATGGGATGGCACACCTCCTAAAGGTCCATGTTCACATTTAATACTCATCAGTCTCTGATACAGTTTTGTCACTAGTGTGGCATGGAACATGGCTCACCACAAAGGGAAGAAGTTATCCATCATGGTTATCTATACTCAACTTTCAGAATAGACCATTGCAATGCCTCTGAAGGCTGTCTATACATGTCAATAACTCAAATAAAGGTTATATACCTCTCCAGGAAGAGTTGACAGATATCTCTTTTGTGATGTTTTTGATGACAGAAGACCTTTTCGTTTTCCCAGTTCTTTTAATTATTGATGTGTTTTCATTTCTGCTGCATGTTTTAAATGCTACCTTTAACTATTATTTTTATTATTGTTGTTCATGTGGTAAACCACCCTGAATTTATAGAGATTACTGTATCTACTGTGAGAAGAGAAATTAACCCGCGCGGACAATCCCAAGAGGATGTGCGATAGAAAGATGTCACCTTATGTAACTAGCTATTCCAGAAAATCATGAAGAAATGTAGCAGGAACTGGTGAGGAGGAGCTAACGTTTCCAGATTTATGAACAGATGATACTAGCAAGAATATTTCTTTCATGACCTATTTGTTTGACCCACTTATGGGTCTGAGTTGTTAGAACCTCAGGAAAATGATTTAACTCAGACCAAAGAAAGATATTTGAAGTTAAGCCAGCCTGAGATTTAACATGCTTGACTTTTTCATATAAAAATGAATCACATTCAGCATCACAAGGATATCACAGGATCTCTTAATTAGAAGACTGTTTGCTTTATCCTCTGTCCAGTACCACTGCAGGAAGGCTACGGAAACTCTATGAAACAGTTGCAGCTTGTGTTTTTCTTCATTAAAATTATATTGTTAATACCTCTCATCACTTCCTGTGAGTAAAACAGTAAAGTTGTATTTACACAATATGTACCCTGTCTTTCAGTCTGGAGCACTGGGCTTGTGCTGGCTTATTAGAACTTTGCTGCCTCCCCAGAGCCCCACTTTGCAATGTCACAAACTGGTTTTGAAATATCGCAGATACAAAAGCAGTTTACCATTCAGCATGTGGACAAATACCTAAGTGAGAGGCTCTGAGCCAGAGCTTGTAAAGGATCACTAAGACCTATAAAGCCCTAAACGGCTTGGGTCCTGGCTACCTGAACGAGCGCTTACGTCCGTATATGCCCGACCGCCCCTTGAGATCTGCGGGAGAGTCCCTTCTCTGGGAACCCTCCATGAAAGAAATTAGGAGAGTAAGTACTCGGAGGAGGGCTTTCTCTGCGGTGGCACCCAACCTATGGAATTCACTCCCCAAAGAGGTCCGCCTGGCACTGCTGTTACTGGTTTTTCGGCGCCAGGTAAAGACCTTTTTATTTAAACATCATTTTAATTGTTAAAATATATGATCTGGCCAGGGCAACTTCTTCTTCCTTCTCTTTCCCCCTCCTATATTCTTTATTTACTTATTTTATACTGTTAATTTTAATTGTATATTATTGTATCTCAGTGTATTTTTTGTATTTATTGGTAATTTATTATGTTCTATTGTATTTCAATGTATCTTATTGTGTTGTAAGCCACCCCGAGGCTTCGGCAAGGGGCGGCATAGAAATGTTATAATAATAATAATAATAGTAACAACAACAACAACAACAACAACAACAGGGACCATAGGATGCCAGCCCTAGTCTACTAGAGGATAGATGGTAGAGAGAAGAAAACTCTTCCAATATCAGTAAACAGCAGTCATTCTTTTCAGCTTCCTTCACCAAATCTTGTATTTAAAGGCAAAGGTGAGAGGCTTAAAGAGAATTGTGCAAGAGGTAAATAACTGCCATTTCTCTTTAGAAGTACAGAGAGATAAAATGAATATTTTGGGAGAAAACTGAAGGGGAGCAGATTAACAAGATTTGACGACTGGAGTTCAGACCCAACTCCTATCTTCTAGTCAGTTTATGGCTTTAGACATGTGACTTTTTTCCATCTAACCTAAATCCTGCCCCAACAAAGGCTATTCAAATGCTTCTGTGAAGATTACATGTAGAAAGGAGAACAATTTTCACCATTTGCATTTAGTCCCTCAAAACATGGAGGTTCCATTCAGCTAGCATAGCAGAGCGGTTAAGAGAAGGGTTGGCAAGACTATCTTAAATGTGTTGGAAACACACTGGACGAGATTTCTTTTTCTTTTTTGAAGTGGCAGGAGGGCAAGAATGTATTTGCTAAAAGTTTCAGCAAATCCTGTCAAAAATGAAAAACTGCCCCAGTATTAACAATAACATACAATAAAGGGTCTACCACACAAATATTCTGTAGCAATATTCTGTAGAAATGACTATATAAGACAGAAAGCCTTCAGACTAAAAACAATCCAATATCAACAGTAGTAATCCATTCAGTATGTTCACAAAGTACGTATAAGTAGTGGGCAACAGTCCTGTCCCCCAATATCAGCCCCTGCTCTGCTCAGAAACTTGACTGAAGGTGTGGAGGATAGGCCAAAGGGTGCAATTCCATTTCTCCCTCCATGTGTTCATGCATATGGATAACTTATTAAATAGGGTTACGATTTCCTTAGAACTGAAAGAACAAGTAGACAAAAGTGTTCCCAACCAGTGATATCTAAGAGGGAAGGAATGTTGCCAGGGCTAGTCACAGATAAAGAAGAATTCTTCTTAAAATCTCAGCTTTCTCAAGTTAGATGATGTCCTGTGCTTAGATTCACGTTTTTATTCACATCTAAAATTACTCTTGCATTTCAGCTTCACAACAGTTGAGAGAACATACAGCCTTTCTCTTTTGATAGCTTAGAAAGACAAGAGAAAATGACCAGCGTTTCATTCTTTGCATTTCTTTCTGGCTGGCAGATGCAATATGCCCCCTTTGTCCCGCGGTGTCCTTTTACTTTCAGTCTTCCAAAATGGAAAACGCAGGCCTTCTGAGCACACAGGCAAGAGACTACGCTTCTGGTCCCAGAGGGGCCCGGGGCACACGTCACACCTGCGCTGCAGCCATGCATTTGTCCAGGCAGCATTTGATGCCTGTGGAGACTTCAAGCAGGACCCGCCTACCCCTTCTGTTTTCGGGGATACTGAGCCGGATAACGGCCCGAGGGAAGAGGTTAAATAGACCTTGCATAACCACTGGAGGCCGACGGCGGAACAGCTGCGAGGAGCTTCGTCACACCCACCAGCGCCCCAGACGCAGCCAAGACAGCCGCCCGGAGGCCTCCTAAGGCCCAGGACAGGCAGACGCGACCGATCCCCCTCCGCTCCCGCATCTCCTTCCCATAAAGGGGCACCGCAGTCCCCGGGGAAGGCAGGAGCACACCACGGGTGGCTAAGGCCAAAACCCGACCAGGCCTGGGCAGGCTCGGGCCGCGGCTCCCCCACGAAGTCGCGCGCGGGGCCCCCAGGCCGGGCGGGAGGCGGCGCCCGGGGTGCGCGGGCGAGCAAAAGCGCGCATCAACGGCCCGAACAACGCCCGGCCGCCCGCAGAAGCGACGAGGGAGCCGCCCTCTTCGGAAGAAGGCAGGCGAGCGGCCAGGCCACGGCGGCTCTCCTCACCCGCCGCCCCCTGCCCTTCCAGGGCGTTACCTGCACGGCGCGGCTGAGGAAGGTGCCGGCGTCGGCCGCCAGCTTCTTCACATTGAAATCCATAATGTTCATCTTCGGCGAGGCTCCGGCGTTCAGGGGCGGCAGTGCCGTCGGCGGCGTCCGCCTGCCGCCACCGCACTTCCTCCCTTCAGGAGCTGCCGGCCAAGGCGCTGGCGCAGGCGCTGGGGGAGGCGCCGCGCGCTGCCAATCCGGTAGCTGATTCGGTGGGGAGCGCTCGTGGGCGGGCCCATCAGCCAGGAGGCGGGGCAGCGGTGGGCGCGGACTGTTAGGTTCCACCCGCCAGGGGAACTTAAAGAGAGCGTCACGGCATCCTGAAAGAAAGGGCAGTTGTGGCGCAGGGTCTGAAGAAGCGGGGTCTGCATTTTCTCTGCCGGCTTGTATGATTATGGTTTGATTTGAGACACATGGTGCATCAAGAGACTCTACAGGATGGGAAGCAGGCATGAGGAGCCACTGCCTGGAAAATTTGGCTCAGGGTCATAAGAGTTTTTTGCTCTTGAAGCCTGTGGAAGGTATATGGATAAAGATAAGTGTGCCCCTGAGCATGTTCTGAATGACAGATGGCTGTTATGAAGGAGCAATGAGGGATTGCAGAACACAAACTGCAAGTTTGGCGTAGGATTCAGGCGCCCTCACATTTTCCAGTGAGAGCCAGTGTGGCGTAGTGGTTAAGAGCATGGGACTGGGACTCAGATGACCTGGGTTCGAGTCCCCGCTCAGCCATGGAGCCAACTGGGTGACTTTGGGCCAGTCACAGACTCTCAGCCCAACCTACCTCACAGGGTTGTTGTTGTGGGGATAAGATGGAGGAGGAGAATGATGTAAGCTGCCTTGAGCCCTTTGTAGGAAAAAGGTAGGATATAAATCGAAAAATAAATATATAAAGACATTTTGGACCATAGCACTCTGTAAAGCAGCATTCCCTGCCCTGGTGTCCCTATTATTATTATTATTATTATTATTATTATTATTATTATTATTACAACATTTCTATGCCGCCTCTTGCCGAAACCTTGGGGTGGCTTACAACACAATAAAATACATTGAAATACAATAGAACATAATAAATTATCATTAAATACAAAAATACAAAAAATACATTGAGTTACAAATATAAAATTAAAATTATCAGTATAAAATAAGTAAATAAAAATATAGGAGGAGAAAAGAGAAGGAAGAAGAAGTTGCCCTGGCCAGATCATATGTTTTAACAATTAAAATGATGTTTAAATAAAAAGGTCTTTACCTGGCGCCGAAAAACCAGTAACAACGGTGCCAGGCGGACCTCTTTGGGGAGTGAATTCCATAGGTTGGGCGCCACCGCAGAGAAAGCCCTCCTCCGGGTACTTACTCTCCTAATTTCTTTCATGGAGGGTTCCCGGAGAAGGGACTCTCCCGCAGATCTCAAGGGGCGGTCGGGCATATACGGACGTAAGTGCTCGTTCAGGTAGCCAGGACCCAGGCTGTTTAGGGCTTTATAGGTCATAATCAACACCTTGAATTGGGCCCGGGCTTCAATGGGAAGCCAGTGAAGCTGACGGAGGACTGGAGTCATGTGAGCATAACGCCCCATCCCCGTCAGCAACCTGGCAGCTCTATTTTGCACCAATTGAAGTGTTCGGACCGTCTTCAGGGGAAGCCCCATGTAAAGTGCGTTACAGAAGTCTAGGCGGGAAGTCACCAGCGCATGTGTCACCGTCGCCAGGCAGTCATACTCCAGGTAGGGGCGCAGCTGATTAATCAGCCGAAGCTGAAGGAAGGCGTTCCTCGCTACCGCTGTCACCTGAGCTTCCAAAGAAAGCTCCGGGTTGAGGAGTACTCCTAAGCTGTGGACCTTATCCCTAAGAGGGAGTGTTGCACCATTCAGGACCAAGTCAAATCCACCCTTGGGTGTTTTGGGCTTCAGTTTCCCTTACATGGGCAATGATCAGGAATATTGGGGATGCTAGTCTGAACCAGGGACACTGCATTGAGAAAGGCTGTTTTAGAGCAGGGATAGGCAGAAAGTAGCTCTCTAGATTTTGGATTTTGTTTCCAAGCATCCTTGATCATTGGCCATGCTGGCTGAGACTCATGGGAGCTGAAGTCCAGTACATCTGGAGCTTACATTTTGCTTATTTCTGCTATAAAAGGTAAAGGCAAAGGTTACCCCTTGACATTAAGTCCAGTCATGCCTGACTCTAGGGGGCGGTGCTCATCTCCGTTTCCTAGCCGAGGGAGCCAGCGTTTGTCTGCAGACAGTCTCCATGGTCATGTGGCCGGCATGACTAAACACCAAGGTGCACGGAATGCTGTTACCTGCCCACCGAAGGGGTACCTTTTTATCTACTTGCATTTGCATGCTTTCGAACTGCAAAGTTAGCAGGAGCTGGGACAGAGCAACGGGAACTCACCCCATTGCGCACATTCGAACTGGTGACCTTTCAATCAACCAGCCCAACAGCACAGCGGTTTAAACCAGTGCGCCACCTGCATAGAACAGTGTAAAAACACAATGACACAAAGGTTAAGATGTTAAACCATAGATGCAAAATAGATTTCAGACAGAGGTGACCATTCTGTGTGTCACAAAAATCAGGTTTGCTGATTTGGAAAACAGTGCAGGCTGCCATGTTAAAATCCAAAATGATTGATGTGAATCCCATTTTGGTTAATATGGCTCTACGAAAGCAACTTAGATGGCAAAATGAGCACAGTATGAGCTACACAGAGAAATCCTTAAAATGTTTATAGTAGCAGAGTAATTGACTGGGTTTCCAGTGGCATAGCTGCTGCAAGTGTGAACAATGATTACAAAGTAGAATGAATATGATCAGAGAACAGTTAAAGGAAAATCCTATGTATGTCTGCTGAAATATAAATCCTAATAACTTTACTATGGCTTACTTCCAAGTAAATTAGTATAGGATTTTAGTCTTACTGAAATTAATAGCCCAACTGTTTCATTAATTTTATTTATTATTACATGAATATCAAACCTTTTCCCTCTGAGGAACCCAAGGTGGCTTATATGAGCTCCACATTTTATTCTCACTACAGCCCTGTTAGGGAGAGTTGGCAGTGAGCCAGCAGCTGGTCCAAAGTCAGCCAGTGCTGGCTGCTTAGGGACTAGAACCCAGATAACCCAAGTCCCGGGCTACCACTCTAGCCACTCAACCACACTGGCTCTCAGTTTTCACTGTACTTCACATGTTGATGAAAGAATACTCTCATTGAAGCACAAGATTAATTATCTGGAAATAGTCAATATGTTCTTGTGTTTTACCAGGACTGAATGTGGAAGAAAAAGTTTCCACATTTAAGTACAGAACATGTATTGAATCGATGTGGAATGAGTGCTGTATTTATTTCACAATTCCAGCAATCTGCTTGGCTTCAAAACTGCTTCAAATTGTATGACACATCTTGTAAATTCCTACTCGGTCGATTCCTAGTCAGACCTAGAACTTCACTGTTCTCAGCAGTGCTGTGGGCTCCATTGTAATCTTTGTCCGAGGGCTACAATCTCCACTGGAAATTTGCATATTAAGATAATTTTAAAGCAAATAGTGATGTATAATTTATTTATTTATTTATTTATTTAAAACATTTCTATGCCGCCCCATCGCAACAAAGCCTCGGGGCGGCTCACAACACATAAATACTAAAATTATACAATAAATAACACCCCCCAGTGCATTCTCGGCTTTAAAAAACCCCCCTAGTTAATAAATAATTAACAGTTAAAATAAGTTTTAAATAAAAATAAAAAATAATCATGTAAAAGGGTAGCCCACTTTGAATCCTTTATGTTTAGAATGGTGAGATAATTATGACTGATTTCCTCAGCTTTTACAGTACATTATCGCTTGAATTAACTTTGTATCCCTAGTTAAGGTAAAATACTAAGAATTCATGATGTTGATGCAGAGCACACTATTTAGCAGATTGCCAAGCTGTGGCAACCTAACTTCCCTGAAACAGGTAAGCAGACTTTACTTGAAACATATTATTGCCAAATGAGTTACCACCACCACCGCCAAAATCAAAATACAGTATTGTGCCATTTGTAAAACATGGCATATTTTACCAAACTAACTTTTACCCCATCGAAGAGTCAAGAGAAGAACTGAAGTATCATTGATTCAGTCAGCCTTTCCTAGTCTGATGTAACCAGCTAAGCTGGGCAGAAAAATAGTTGTAGAACTGAAGGCTTTAAAACTCATCCAGTTACCACAATTGGCTGAGGCATCTCACAAGACACATCTCCTCCTACGGCAGAGTCCAAATCAAAGCGGATGTGAGCAATTTTTATCTGTAATGGCAGGCATCTGATTTTGCCTCCTCCTCTGTCTCAGATCCTGTAAGGCCACTTATTACTCAATTGCTAATTATTCAATAAAGCTCCATCAGATGACATTGTGTGGAATGATTCAGCACCATCTCTGCCACTGAAGTAGTCTCTCAAGCAAGTTTTCCTCTAGAAACCTTCCTCCATTGCCCCTCTTGGTTCATTGCCCACAACTTTCTGTTTGCTCCAGGCAGGCGGGTGGAAGCAGAAGTTCTTGGCAGCTGGAAAAGGCATCTCAGGACTATGTCACTATGTTCTCTGTTTTAGAGAACAACCAGGATTTTGAAGAAGAGTTATTAGGTATAATTGAAAACTTCCAAGGGCACTGTGAAACCAGTTAGCTCTATCAGGAAGTGGCCCCCATAGAGACTGCAAACTGCCAGGATTCTGATCGTGACCATTTTTTCTGTGACAAAGCGGTTACTCTAAGTCTTTCCCTAATCAGGTCAGTTCTATATCTGCCTAACCCGATCCAAAAGGAAGATCCAGTTGAGCATATAACCTTCCACATCTGTGGGAGCAGTATATTTTGGGATAGCCCCATGGCTGTTATGGTGCTCAGCTGTGGCTCACAAGATGGTTTACAGAAAGCTACCAGTGCCTGTTACTGAAACATAAGGGAGGAAGATGTGCCAGAGGGTGGCACAAGGCGGCATAAGGACTTTTAGCATGGCTTCTGAATGGGCAGCAATGCCCACTGCAAATCACAAATTTAGTAATCCTCACCCATGCTGGGTACTACTAGCTGACTATCATGTGCCTGCATCATGCTGAATTAAGAGCCTTAGAGCTTCACTACGTCGGCTAGTACCCAA